CGCCTCACCATTCCTTGGGACCCCTCCCTAGAATGACCCACCACATCCAAGGCAGTGCGCTGTCCCGCGGCCACAAACCCACCGGCGGTGAACATGCCCAGTCCAGGCACGGCCCAGTCCGCCCACCAGAGGAAGGCGGCGGCCACTGGGTGGCGGCGCACCGGCTTGGCACTGTCAGGAGGGGTTTTGGTGGGTGAGGTGGCGTGTGTTTGAGTGCTGGGGCTGGGATGTGGGGCTCCCGCGGGGTGGGGTGGGGGGGGATGATGAGAATCCAACAGCCAACTGGATCCACGCTGTCCCCAAATGCCGGGTGCGTGCAGGGGCACGCTACGGTCTTGAAATGCAAACACCACATTGGCGGTGGCGTGGTGCTCCGGTGCTCCGCAGATGTCGCCTGGCTGCTGATGTCATCCGCAGTTAGTCGGCGCTTTTGGGTGCACCTTTCCTTGCCCCCCGACCTCGCCCCACTCCACCCAACCCATGATCAGCCAGCCGCTGCGCACGCGCTAATGCCACCTCGGTGCTACACACAGGCACGAAAGCAGCGGCTTAGCACGGCTCTGCTTATTGTGACTGCTGGCGCGCCGGTAAGAGCCCCCTGCCCCTTGTCGCCGCCACCCACAAGCAGGGCTGCCCAGTCAGCACGTGTGCGGCGCACAATCGGTACCCACGTGCTTGCTGCCCCCACTTGCGTGCGCTCCGCGCGCCCAGTTACGCGAATCGCGTCACGCCGTCCCACCAGTGGCCCTGTCAGCAACCCGTCCGCCCCACATCAGGCAGCGGCGGCGGAGACTCACGGGGGGTGCATAGTGTACCGCTGCAGTGTGCTGACACTGCTCATGCGACTGAGACGCGCAAGGTCCGGCGGGGGCGCCCCCGAGGCCGCCACGGACGGCGGTGCGCCCCTGGGCGTGCATGTGCCGCCGTCGGTCGTCATCCGGGCGGCGCTGGCGGCAGCGGCGCGGGCGTGCTGCCGAAGCGGGCGCAGCGGGGTGAGGCTATGACCAAAGGCGAGCGGGCCGGTTTGGTTGAGACGGCGCGGCAGGTGTGTGCAGCTGCGAATGTTGCTATGAGACGATTTTTCCTGTAACTATCGCATCCGCAACGCGTGCTGGGACGGCCTTTGACACCGTAGACGTGTGTCACGATTGCACCTCGCACAACAGGCACCTAGAATTGACTATAGTCTACTATTACAAGGGTGATCGAACTTGGTTCAGGCCGCTGCACTGCTCTGATCAATGCGCAGTGTACCTGGCACGCCCTTTGACTGTTGTGCCCTGCAACTCGCAGGGGGGCGCATTCACACCCAGGTAGTCAACACCTGCGTCGGCTGGCCCACGCATGTGCCCAACCCCACACCTGGTGAAACCGCACCAATGCAGAGCAAGATACAAGTTACCTTTTGGGTGTTGCAGTCTAGTGCGGCGGGCCAGCTGCAGGGCACAGGTAGGGACACGCCTGGAACCACGTCTGCAATTGCAGTCAAGGAGGGCGGCGCGCGCAATGCACGTGCGCCCTCAGGGCGCCACAGGGCGCCGAGCGTGGCAAAAGATAGACAGCTACAAGGGCCCCAGAGGCCACCAGGCCAGGTCGCTGACCAGGAAGGGGCCAGCGCGCCACTGGGCCAAGGTTCTTCAATTTGGTGGGCCGCACAAATACAATGCACTACCTGAAGGACAGGTCTGACAAACCTGATGGCGACGCAGACGCGGCGCTGCAATGGCAAAGGTGAGGGCGTCGGGCTACTCCCTGATCCCTGTAAAAAGCACAGTCCCCGGGTGAAAAGGGGCGGGGCCGAAGCTCTGCGACCCGACTGATGAGGCGCACCCTTGAACAGGTGCAGATGCCAAGGCATACTCGGGCGCGCCGCTGCCGCAACCAAGGTGGCGCCGCCGCAACCAGGGTGACGACGAGGCCACCACAAAGTGCGGACCTAATCTGCCGCGCCGCCCTTATGACGCTGCCTTGTCTGGAGGATTGGTCACGAGGCTAGGGGCGCTGCGAATGAGCTGGGCCCCTGGGCTGGCACAAAGGAAGCAGCAGGGGCAGCAGCGGCGGCGCGGCCGCGGACGGCGCCGCCGCAGAGGCCCTCGCCAGACCCGCTGGCGCGCATCTGCATGTATCAATGGGTGGCGTCGACGGAGGGGAAGCACAGGCCGCCGCCCGTCTGCGCCAAAGGGGATCCTGGGGATTCGCAACTGAGAGTGGGACTGCTGCTGACGAGCAACCCCAGGAGGGCCGTGCAGACTACGGGCCACGCGCGCATAGGCTCCAAGTTCAGGATCGATGCCGCAGCCACGAGACAGCTTGGGGGCAGGCGTAGACGCCGGCTGCCCCACCCGAGAGCGGGCGCCGCTGCCCAACAGGTCGGGGGCGCCCTCCGCGGGCCGTGCCGCCAGGCTGGGAACTCCTGGACTGTGTGTCTGCAGGCTGCGGCGGTTTCCAGTGCAGCCGGCAGGAGAGGCATGAGGAGACGCCCCTGCGCGGCCGCTGCAGGCACGCTGCCAGCGGGAAGCCGGAGGAAGCTGCCCGGCAACATTTTCGATGGGCGGGCCTGGCGGACAGGGCGACGATGAGGCGATGGGACCCCCCGCGGCCCCCGGAAGGGGGGATGGGTGGGCAGAGGGCGAGGGCTGCTTCAATTCTGGCGCCTGCGTGCGGGACAACACCAATGTGCGTTGTCCCACGACGACCGGGCCAAGAGGACAGAGGCTACAAAGAACGGCTCCGTCCGGCAGGCAGCGGCGGAAGGGCCGAGCAAGGCCGGACGGGCGGACCGACCAGGGCCGCGAGGCGCGCGCAGCGCCGACGCCCTCGCGCCAGCGGGGCAGGGTGAGGGCGCGACGTGGGCTCAGGGGCCGCGGAGGACGACGGACCCGTTGGCGCCGCGCCGCAGCCACGCCAGCCGGGGCCCCGGGAGGTGCAGCGTCTGCCGGCCGCCTGCCGCGCCAAACACCACGCCGCCCGCGCCCGCGCCCGCATCCGACAGCAGCGCGCCGCAGCTGGCGCTCTTGCGCATGCGCAGCGCGGCGGCCGCGGCGGGCGTGCCGCCATCTTGGTCGAGCGCAGGGGCCGTGCCGTTGCCCGCGGCGGCGGCGGCAGCGGCCGCGAGGGACCCAGAGCTCGCGCTCGCGCGCAGGCCCGCAGCCCGCGCCGCCGGCGCCGCGTCGGCCGCGCGCAGCCGCGCCGCGCCTGCAGCCACCGCCGCGGCCGGCGCTCGCAGCGCAGAGCCGCCGAGCCAGGCGAACCCCCGCATCAGGCCGCCGCCCAGACCGAGGCCGCCGCCACCGCCGCCACCGTTGACGCTGCCATTCACGATGGCTGCTGCTGCCGCTGCTGCCCCGCTGCCGCCCACCAGCCGGTCTAATTGGGTCTGGTGGTAATGATGATACTGCTGCTGCCTCGCGGCGCCCCAGCGCGCGCCCGCGCCGGCCAGCCGCTGCAGCGCGAGCGCGGCGCCACAGAACCCGCGCCCCAGCTGCTCCCGCGCGCGCCCAAGCGCGCCGCGCCCCGCGCCGGCTGCGCGGCCGCTCAGCGCGAGCAG